CTCGCGAAATTTGCGTGGCGCGCGCGGGCCAGATTGCCTATTTCGCGGGCGACTTTTCGCCTGCAGTGCACGACGGCCGTGCTTCCGGCGGTGAGATGAGGGAGTGGGTGGGGCGACGAGGGGAAAGGGGGCGTGGTGGCGACGGTGCAAGCGAAGAGCGGAGGTAACGGAAGTAGAGGGTGTGGTGGAGGGTAGCGGATCAGGCGAAGCTTCGAGAGTGGCGATGACGAACGGGGAAGGACCAACAGAGTTTAGCTCTGCAGCGACTCTGACTGGGAGAGCGTAGGGCTCGTGTACCAACGGTGGTGGATTTTTGATACTAGTTAGGTAGGTAGAATTTAACTGCTGAATCCTAGCGTCCGAAGAAGAATTCTGGAGGAGGAGAATTCTAGCGCCCTGTTTCTGTGATCGGTAGTTTTCCGTGGTTTATCCCATCAATACCAGGCGATAGCAGGAGCAGTACCCAACGGGCCAAAAAACGGGCCACAGACCCTCCGCGATCTTTCCTTCCTCTTCCTTTTCCTAACCTCTCTTACTTCCACTTCCACTTTACATACACTACACTACTACACTTGTCGGGAGACCAGCCCGGAACTTAGGGCTGGCCTTGGCTCAAGGAGGGATATACCTGAGTGGAATTCCCCTGCTAGCGAACGTCAGATCTCGCCATTCATTGGGGAAGGAACACCGCCACGTCTCAGTCACTATTGGGACTAATGACAACAGTGGTTGACGTGCCCGGAAACATCCAACAAATCAACGGAATGAATGAGTTCATGGGTGGTGGTGGTGGTGGTGGTGCCGGTGGTGACGGTAGCTGATGAGTCAGTGACTCAATTGGGCTGGAATTGCTGATGGGGGTGGCAGGGACGGCGGGGGAGGTGAGGCGGAAAGAGTATGTTTGGGTGCGGAGAGGCTAGCAAAAGCGATAGAGGCAGATAGCAAGGCAGCGCCGGATGAGGCGGGTGGCTTGAGCTGCGTGGGCGGTGGAGGCGGCAGCGGAGCGAGCGATCACCCACGGATCAGCGGGGCGCAGTGGTGAAGCGTTGATGGTCGACGTAGGCGGTGACCATAAGGGCGGTCGGAGCGGTCCGGTCGCTCCGCTGATGCGCCGGACGGTGGCGGTGGCTGGGGACGTGGAGGGACGGTGAGGTTGGCGTGGGCGGCGTGGGTGGCGGGGGCGACCGAAGCGGTTGGGGCGCGGGGGCGGCATTCCATCGCCCACGCGGCCGCCGAGACTAACGAGACGCGCATTTCGCCGCAATCCAAACGCCCGCGTGGCTCCGCACAGTGGACGCGTGATACTAGTTAGGCGGCCGCGTTTCTACATTAGGAAACCCTTCAAAACTAGTGACGCCCTCACCCTTAAATGCACACACTTTCTCGTATTATTTACCACTTTCACAACTTTCGAAATTTCTAAGAGTTCAATAAAAATGGAGCTTGCCTAATTGTAACTACGGTGTATTGCTCTAATTCAGAAAAAATAAGCGGATCGATTTTAAGAAAATTTTGAAAATGTCATTGAGACTTTATAAAACGGCCCCTCCTCCTAAATCAAAATATTCATTTGAAATTCAAGTGGTCGCTACATTACACAATATTACATTACCCAACTTTCCCATTTACTGCAGATAGAAACAAAAATTAGTCACCTTTTCTGAATCAGGGGTGTAGAATATTGATTTTTCTCTAAAAGATCTGCCGTCTTCAGCTGCCATAATTACACAACTTTCCCCATAGTACGTACATTGTACGGAAGAAAGTAAATGAATACATTCTTATTCAATTAAGGAATAAAGCAGTCAATATTAAAAATGTATGTACGTCCACATTGTTCTTTAAACATTGTTGTGTCTTGACTATTGTTAGGATGGCGTTTGGTAACTGTCAGTTCCAATCACTATGTTATTCTAAAAATTAAAAATTGAAAACCGATGTTTTATAGCTTTCTAGTCACTAGCACGCAGAAAATAGGTAGATTAATCTTAAAATTACGATGATTGGATCAAGAGCGACGAGACCGTAAAGAAACCTACAAATCTCACGGAACAAATCATCTAGGTCTCGGTCCACATACACCACCATCGGGGGTGAGTAGTGTTGGGGCAGCGACCAAGTACGCCGAGCGGAAAGCTGCTGGATCGGCTAGTGGTAGAGCATCCAAGGTAGCATCTCTTACTATCTTTAATTGCATCTCAACATCGTCACAACAGTCCTCGTACATGGCTCCACACTATCACCCTATAATATTTCACACATAGCCCAACCAAACCACCACTGTCATCAGACACCAGATGCTCTGGAAAGGTTGCTCATCAAGGAGTTACTCACCTAAATTAGAAATAAATAAGGTACCTATTTAATAAAATAAAAATGGTTGCCGTGAAACCATTCTTTACCTTACACTGTAAGAAGAACTACTTAGTGATCATAATGGTTTCTTAAATAATCAAGCTGAGATGATTCACAAGTGATACGTGGTGTCAAGCCTCCCACACTACGATTATATGGTAAAGACCACCAAAATCCATGTTTCAAGCAGGACTCGAAATCGCGACTTTGATCTTCGCGTAAATTGCACATAGTTCTGAGCCCCAGTGCCAACAACCCAATCAAATTACTTTAATTAACTCGAAAATACGATTAATAAAGTCCTTGGTGAAATACAATTTATGGTTTTGGACTATCTCATTGGCTTCATCTGCCCTTTTAGCAAGCTGCAATCTAATGTCACCTATAAATTTCCAGAGGCCCACTTCGACCGACGACACTCAGATAGATGAGTCCAAGGCGTCCGTTGTACACTTAATGCTCTCTTCGGCATGCTGCCCGAGATACCTCGTGTCCCGTCTCAGAGTTGCAGATTTGGTGAACGGAAAGTTTTCACTTGAAGCCTCATTGCTGAAATACTTGCATTTTTGGCAAAGGAGCATCGTTTTTAATATTAGTGTGAAAGGCTAATGGATGAGGGCAGGATAAAGATTTAAGCGTTGATACAATGAAAATTTCACAATCACAGCTAAAAACATTCATCCCGTTTAAAGGATTAGAATCCGCAGCTTCAGTGTAACGCAACGTGCTCTGTGCCCCCAGGACTGCTACTGAAAAAAAGAACCCTTCTCCTTTCTGTTAATCGAGCCAAAAGGGCAAAAAGAAAACAGCTGGCGTGAAACTCAGCATCTGTCCCACTGTGCCGCGAGCCAGCGACCGCGCGGCACAAACGCGTCCTCGGCCGCGACCGCCGAATAAAACATCCGCCGGCGTGCATTTGAACAGCTCAGCGGTGGCGCGACCTTTCGTGAAAATTTTGAAACGGGAGAGCGGGTCAGAGCTGAGCGGCGCGCGCGGCGGGACCGCGCCGGGCCTTCATGAATACCCTATTAAAGCCGATGGAACGTGGCGGCAGAACGCAGACCCCGCAAAATACCAGCGTAAAAAATCAGCGCGAATGTTCTGCCCCGGTCGACAGAGCCGGCCGTTTGCCGGAGTTAATGGTTCGGGCTCGCAACGGACGTCAGAGGTGTCAAACATGGCGTGCAACCGTTTGACTGCAAACGCAGTACACATGTATCGGTTAACTTTTGGTAGGCATTTGCGAAATAGAGCAATTTGTTGGCGGGTTGCGACGTGAAATAAAGTATTTGAAGGCAAATGAACGTTATTGCAAATCGTAAAAGGACAGCAATAGCGTCATAACAATTCACATTAGCTGTATGGGTTAATTTTGGTGTTTAAATGTAATTTTTGTTATCACTGCTCATTTGACTAAAACAATTCTAGTAAATGTAATCAGTATAATGTTGGGGTATGATGAATAAATCTACAAATTTTCGAAATAATGATTAAAAATATTTATCTTACAATTTTTAAAAACAACGTTAAGCAAATGCTGTAAGTCAGGTATCGAACATGGCGTTCACCATTTGGATCCCCGCCAGTGCACATTTACCGCATAACTTACGATTTGATGCAATTCGCGAGTGCGTTATAAAATATGGGGTAGTAAATAAAATATTTAAAACCGTTTGAACTTGATTGGATTTTATAAAAATGACAATAAAATGTACATATATAACCTCTCCAATTATTTGTTCGTTGTAAATGTGGTACCTACATGTGATTTTGTTTTAAAAAAGTTAGTTTTATTATACCTATTCTAATAAATATTTTACAAAACTGCATGATACTTTTAATAAATAAACTCGCAAAGTTAGGAACACATTGTGAAAATCAATTATTGTAAAACAATAAAAATACTTTCAGGGCTTCATCATCAAACGCACTTTGTTTTCGGCTCACGAATTCTGAGACACGATTTTCTTATTATATTAATATAAACATAGAAAGAAAATATCAACTAAAAGAAAATAACCATTTTCTATAAAAACAATCAGCTGCCTAAACTTCAATCTACCAGGTCATGTTAACTATTCAATGAAAACTACATTCGGGATCAGTCAGCGACCAGTTAATTTAATTAATTATTCTTATAAAGCATAATTTCATCCAATATGGGATGCTGACCTTTTAGCTGCTGGCATATTTCAGTTATTATGGAAAAGATAAGGTACTGATTGCTCCATGGGAGATGATGGAAAGGTAATGGATTGAGAATGGGAAGATAACGCGCGGTCCATTGCTCATTGAATTAGTAGTGCGCCACACGTCTTGAGGTAATCAGGGCATTCTCTAATCAGAGCAGTCGAATACCATGTGATTCCGTCAGGCGTTACAAACATGGTGTTAAACACATTAAGATAATTTACAGGAATTTGCCAGAAATCGAAACCTTCCTTCAAATCATTGAAACTATTTTATATATGTCACCGTTCTTCTGCGGCAACGAAATTAGAAATGTGTGATGAATGTTCGTCTCTAAACTTACGAGTTTTCGAGAAGTGTCACTTTCCTGGTACACCCAGGAAATAACTAATGTGCGATAAATGTTAGGCTATGATCGTACAATATTTCGAGTTGTGTAACTTTTCCCGTACCCTGGCAAAATCAGTAATGTGTGATGAATATTATGCTCTATACTTAGATTTTTTAACGTGGCGTCTCAAGGTCACGCAGAAAATTGAGAGAGGCAAGACCGATTCCAATAGGGAGTTGCTACGTTACTTCAGATTTCACTTTTACAGCTAGCTATTTGAGTGTGTGATGAATGTTTACTTGCTAAACCAACGATTTTTCGACAAGTATCACTTTTCTTGTGCACCGACGACAGACTCATAACACACACATACACACACACATACACACACATACATACATCACACACATACCCCCACATTCACACATACACACATGCACACACATACACATACATACACACATGCACATACATACACACAAACAGACATACACACATAAACAGACATACACACACATACACACATACATGCACATACCGCCCCGCCTACGGGTCCATGACGAACCCGGAAGAGGCGCGGCTAGCCGGCGGAAGTCGCCGCGCGCTCGCTGTCGAGGACTCCACTCGCGGAGTCGCTTTCCGCCGAGGCGAGGGGAGGGGTGCGCCCGGTAAATCGGCGCGGAAAATTCTGGAAGCGCCCCATTTACTCCGTACGTGAGCGAGCGGGGCGGCCGGGTAGCAGGTACGGGGGGGGGGGGCGAGGCACCGCGGGAAGGGGAGTGCTGCAAGGGCTACGTGATTCCCGGGGGGCGGTGCTGTAGGCCAAGGCTGCGCAGGCCCGGCCGACAAGGCGCGGATCATTGAGTTAAGCAAGCATTTCTCCCCTCTGTATTCTCTGTTTTGCGAGCGGAGGAGATAAGAGTACAGGAACCGGCGCTAGGCCGGCTACGGACTACACCGAGGGATGGGTGGCGAGAAATGTGCGACGAGAAATGAGGAAAGAGGCTTGCGAGGCTGCGTCCACACGCTAGAAATAGGTCGATCGATGGATCGAAATGCCTTTATGTGCCACACGCCGAGAATTTTGACAGCAGAGTTAGGTATGCGTGTCCCATTTCTTGGTTTTGTTAAATGCTCTAGTGCAATTTTAACTCGTCAAATCCTTGTTCTGAGAGCATAGTCGAAATTCATCTGCTTAACGAGTTTGAATTGTCTAAATTCAAATACATTATTGCATTACATATAAATTAATAATTTTGATGCACTGTGCCTGTAGTCTCTGCATCGATAATTTCACAATCGTTATTTGCGGCTTGGTTCTTACTACTTACGTTAAAAATATTTCTGAAAATGAGGGGCTTTCGGAAGAGGGGGTAGA